TTAGTTATGCCTTCATTAAACATATGAATTGCTAAAATTCTCTTAATCTTCTAGATTGTCTTTTTCTACTATTTTAAGACTTATCCTTTGATGTCCAAACGTTTTCCATTTTTAGGAAATTCAATTTATCTCTTTTTCCTTTTGTTACTTGTAATTTTGGTGTCATATCTAAGGATCTAAAGTTAACAAGATTTAACCCTATATTTAGTTATGTTAAAATTAGTAAACCAACCCTGCATTTCTGGGATAAATCCCACTTGGTTATAGTGAGTAATTCTTTACATATGTTGCTGGATTTGGTCTCCTAGTATCTTGTTGAGGAACTCTTGACTACATATTTACAAAACATATTGGTCTGCCGTTTTCTTGTGATGACTCTGTCTAGTATCAGACTTTGCTGTCTTGTGTCACCGAGTCAGGTCAAACTCACAGTGACCCCATTAAATCACTGAACTCTCATAGGTTTTTCTTGGTTGTGATGTTTATTGAAGCCAAATGCCAAGTCTTTCTCTCATGGAGACACTGGCTAGGTTGATGCCATCAACCTTCTTGGTTTGTTGCCAAGCACTTAAGAGCTATCATAAGGCCTCTTCCCAGTGTAATAATGGCCACGTACAACAAGCTGGAATGTATCCCTTTCTCTATTTTTCAGAAGTATTTATGCAAATTAATATAATTTTTTTGTTCTTGTTCCCATAAATGTCAGTAGTGGAACAATCCACCCTTTTCCACTTGTAAAGAGTGAACAGAAAGCTACTATATGTATCTAGGACATTTATAAAGAGTTGTCTTCACCTTGAGAAGAAACTGAACAAAAATAAATGTCCATAAACGCTAATTCTTCTTTAAATGTTTGGTAGAATTCAGTAGTAAGCCATCTGGGTCTCAATGTCTCCTTTTCTTATCTGTAATTATTAATTCAATCTGCTATAGTTACTGAGGTTATGATTTGTTTTTTTCCTCTCTTACTATTCCCTTCTCGCTACTTGTTCTTCCTTTCCCAATGCTTAATGTGGTAGGTCAGATTGTTGACTTGAACTGCCTTACCCCCAGGTCTTCTCCTGCAAACTAGCCAACCTACAGATTCATTAAATCTGTTGGTCTCTCAATTAATTACCTTTCATTATGTTGCAAGGAGGGACTGGTCCTTGGAGAGGGACATCATGCTTAGAAGGGTGGAGGGACAGAAAAAGAAAGGAAGACAGACCATCGATGAGATGGATTGATTCAGTGACTGGGGTAATGAGGGTAGATATGTCAGAGACAGTAAAGTTGGCACAGGATAGAGGAGGTTTCAGGGCTATTGTACACAGGGTCGTTATGAGTACAAGCGGTTTGATGGCACAGAACAACAACAAATGGGTTTTTTGTTGTTTGTTTGTTTGTTTTTATAATGGTTTATTTACAGAGTTCATATACATTGTTTTTCACACACACCCTCCACCCATCAAATTGTAGGACTCTACCCCGCCCATCTCAGACCTCTCCTCCCTTCCTCCCCCTCCTGGATCCTCATACTTGTTCTACAATAATAGTCTTACACAGTATTTGTCCTTCTCTCCAGTTCACCACGCTTTTTCAAAGGCTGTTTCATTTTCATTAATCAGTTTCTCTGGCCCTTTATATTCTCACTTTTACGTTAAAGCAACTATTGACTATTTGATCACATACAGGTAATTTTTTAAAGCAGCACTAATACTTCTGAGTGATACTCTTTTTTCTTTCTTTCTTTTTTTTTTAGGCAACTTGTTGTTCAGCTACAAGATGACCTCATGCCTTAGTTATGGACGAAGGTCTGAAGACTATTTCAAGACAACAGTAGCCTCAAGGAGTCTTCCAGTCTCAACCTGTCCAGTAGATCTGGCTTTTTGTTCTCCTCTCTCTTAAAAGGACTTAGAGAATTCATGTTCCACAAATTTGTCCTATTTAATTAGGGGTCATTTATTGTGACCTTTAGCTCTAACTGAGCAAGTACCCTTAGTCACAATCTTCTCCAAGTTTTGTCACAAACAAAGCCCATTTCTCTGGGAAGAGATACGAAGCTACTGATTCAATGTCCTGCTTCTTTCAAGCAAAATATCTGAGTCAGAATTCTAAGAGCTAAGAGCAGGGACAAAGTTAAGTCTTATTCTAGGAGGGTATTTGCTGGTAGGCAGGTTGCAGTAAGTGAGGCCTCTTCTTGGTTTGCCCCTCCTGATGTAGAACTATAAAATTCCCACCACCTTTTGGCCGCCTTAGCCCAGGCCGAGCCTCAGCCAACAGGTAACTGGAGGTGAGATGAGAAACACTGAAGTCCTGAAGTCCTGCTCCTGCTGAGGGAAAGTCAGCTGACTGTAAGAAAGGGAAGAAGGAAACCCGTGTACTTTGCCCATCAGTGTGGTTCAGAATTTCCATTTCCCTGAGCTGAGAGGGCTAACAGGAGGAAACTGTCTGGGTTCAAATAACACAGCCACCAAATTTCATGAATCACAGTTTACTCTTTTCCCTCAGGACAATTCCAAGAGATTTTAAATGTTGGTTGGTTGGTTTTTATCAATTTCACCAGTTTTGAATGAGGTCAGTGGATCTCTTTATGCTGACGTGCCCTTACGTGACCATGTGTAAGGCTGGCTCCACATTACAATGGCAGAGCTAAAGAACTGAGTAGCTGTGACAGCCTCTACATGGTCTGCAAAGCCCGTAATATTTACTATCTGGCTATTTGGAGAAAAAAGTTGACAACTTCCTACCTACCACTGATGCTGCTCGCCATGTCAGCACAGAGTTCTGGTGGTTTAGTGGTAAGGAGTTACACTATCAACCCAAAGGTGGTGGTGGTGGTTATGTGCTATTGAGTCAATCATAGAACCTTGTGAACAATAGCTCTGAACCTTGCTCTATCTTGAGCCAATTTCAATGTCTCAGACACACCTGCTCCCATTGCCACCGTCACCATGCCAATCCATCTTCAGGGCCTTCCTCTCCTGCATTGACCCTCCAACCTTTCCATGCATGATGTCCTTCTCCAAAGACTGGCCTCTCTAGGCAACATGATGAAAGTAAGTGAGATGGAATTTTGAAGTCTTTTCCTCCAAGAGCCATCTGGTTTCACTCTCTCTAGGATAGACCTGTTTGTTCTTTTGGTAGTCCATGTTACATTAAATACTCTTCTCCAGCACCACAACTTAAAGGCACCAATTTGTCTTCTGTCATCCTTAGTCACTATCTAGCTCTCAGATGCATAGCAAACTGAGTTTGGATTGGTTGCACCTTAGTCTCTATCGTTGCTCCTTAGCATTCTGGAGAGGTCCCTGACAGCAAATCTTCCCAAAGCAACTTGTCTTTAGATTTCCTGACTGCTGGCGCCAAAAGTGTTGACTGTGGACCTAAACAGCATGAAATTGTTAACAACTTCAATATGATGCTGTTAATTGGCCTGGTGGTGAGAATATTCTTTTTTTTGGGGGGGGAGGGGAGGGGAGGAGGAAGACGGCTCTTCCCAACTCTTTCTTGTTTGTTTGTTTGTTGTTGTGTACCTTCGAATCAGATCTGATCCGACTGGCACACGAAGAGATTGCCCCTCCTTCTCCAGTGGAGCATCTGGTGGATTCGAACCATGCACCTTAGGGAGAGAATTGTTTTCTGGATGTTGAGAAAGCATTTGACTGTGAGGATCACAACAAACTGTGACTAACATTGAGAAGAAGGGGTATCTCAGAACACGTAATTATCTTCATGGAAAACCTACATTTAGACCAAGAAGCAGTCATCAGAAGAGAGCAAGGAAACACTAAATGGTTGAAAAACCAAGGAAAAAATGTGTCAGGGATGTGCCCTTTCTCCACACCTTTTTAATCTTTATGTGGAACAGATAGGAAACTCATCAACAACCTGCGTTATAGAGATGACACAACTTTGCTCGCCAAAACTGAAGAGAACTTGAAGCATTTGGTTAAAAGAAGATCAAGAACTTCAGTCTTCAATATGGACTGCATCTCAACCCAAAGGTGCAGGTTCACATGCACCAGCTGCTCTGATGGGGGCAATCTCTTCCAGCATGATTAACAGCCTCCAAAAACCCAAACAATAGTTGGCTAGTTGGCTATTTGCAATTCGATGGTACATAAAAGCAAACAAACCATTGAATCCAGCGGGGTTTCAGAGGCTAGAAATCAGACTTGGTGGATTTGAACCGCCGGTGACGCGGGGTTTGGGTTAAAATTCCACTTTGCCATTTCCTAGATACACTTGTAAAGATACTAGTTTGGGGGCAAGTCAGTGGCAATAATAACGCTCTATAAGTCAACGGGCTGTGAAGATTAAATGTGAAAATATCTGGCACTTAAATATACAAAAGCTGAACTCGGATGGCGCAGCCCATAGGGAGCTGCGCTGCTACTCCAAAGATAGCGGCTCTCTAGCGGTTCAAATCCATCAGCCGCTTCTGTGGGAGCAAGATGATCCATCTCCTCCCGTGCAATTTACAACCTCCAAAAACCCACTGGCGAGTCAGCTATATATATATATGATGGTTCTGCCAAGAAAATGTAACCTTTGCAAACAAAAAACAGCGGGGCAACCTTCTTCTGGCTTTGAAAACCCGCCAAAGGGTCCGTGAGGGGGCCATTCTGACTCTACAACAGCAAACGGTACATAACAACAATAAACAAGTATTAACTGTTCAACGAACAAAATGCTACTTTTAATACCAGGGTGCACAATAACATCTGGTAAACGTTGAACATTCCACCCAGCTTACGCCTGACACTGAAAACAGAATTCTCTACCAAAGATGCACGGAACCTCGTCAAGTAACAATGAATGAAAACCACCTACAGGAAGTGCTTCCAAACTCAAAAGCCTTACAAAGGAGAACAGCAATTAACTTTCAATGCTAAATGGAGGGTCCAAGGCCAACGACTCTCATGCATAACCGGATGATGCAGAATCCCTCCAGCCTCCACCACAATCCCCGACGGAGCCGCCCCTCGCCGCGCCCGTCGGGGCTGCTGCCCGCTTACCTCGCAGTTGAACTCCATCTCGGCGTCCATGGTGACGATCCGCACAGTGAACGTCTTGGGTTGCTTTCTCTTGAGCGAGCTGAAACTCATGCGGGAAGCGATGGCCCCGGCCATGGTGCGGGGACTCGGGCCCGGGACCTGTGAGCCCCCGCAGCCTGCGCTCTGTACCACTTTAACCCCCCTGGAGGAGACACACAGGCCTCAAGGCCACCATGGTGGCCCGCCGGCTGGTCCAGGAGCTGGGTGGGTGGCGTTCGGCCCCAGCGACCAGCATGGGCCGCGAGGACCCTGACCCGGAGCGGAAAGGGGCGTCGGGGGGTGGGTCCTGCTGGTCACTGGGAGGGGATACGAGTTGGGGCTGACTATGCGGGTGCGGCCTGGCCGCTCGGGGCGTCCGACAGGGACGCCCGGGAACGCGGCCCTTAGACGGCACTGACCCAAACCCCGCCCGCCACTCAGCGGCCGACAGGGTTCCCGGAGACGCGCGGCAGCCGGGTGTGCACAAGCACGCGTGCCTGTCACCGTTCCCGCTCCGCGCGCCCGCGGCAAGTGCCCCCTCCCTGCTGCCCCGGGCCGGCTCCCCGCCCCGCCCTCAGACCCCCTCAGCCCACTACACAGGGCTCAACCGAACACGGAGGCTGCTGCCTGGAAGTCACCATTGGCTAATACCTTCGGGGGAGGCGAGCCCTTTGCTCTTAGTCCCACCTCCCTCAGCGTAGCTAAGCCAATTGAGTGTTCCGCTTTATATGGAGGCGCGGGCCCTGGGTTGGATGGTAAGTGGCTGCAGTGACAGTCACTCCGCATGCTCTCCAAAGGATGCGCCCACTCTAACAAGATTGGTTGGAGCGACGCAGCTTGGCGCTCCTCACGGGAATGCATGTCTGGGCTGGTCCTCGAGCGCGGGAGTCGTGTCCCTCCCAAGTACAGTGAGGACCTGCCCTTTGAACCGAGCAGGAGCCAATCCCAGTCTTGGCGCCTTGGAAAAAGCGTATTTCAGACACTCCATTTCTATTCCTTTTGACTCTCAACTAATTACATATACTTACCTCCGTGTTTCACAGACTTGTAAAACACTTGTGGACATTTCCCTGCCAGATTCTTCTGCTTGCTTTGTTATTGTTAATGTGCTGTCGAGCCCTTGTGACTCGCAATAGTTCTGAATCCTCTTCTAGCCCAACCTCACTGTCTCCGACACACCTGCCCCCATTATCTGAGTCATTGTGTCAATCCATCAGGGTCTTCCTCTCCTGCGCTGTCCTTCCAAACATTATAATTACTATCAAAGATGGGTCTTAATTGTACCCACTTCACGGAGTTCATAGGCAAGTTAGTACATGTGAAGCTTTAAAACGGATGTTTAGATAGAGCCTGTGAAATTGTCTCAGTACATGAAAAATGGTAGAAAACGAAAGCATTTGTCATTCTATACGGTTTCCTCTTTTTTTCCACATTTAGCATTTTTATTCAATTTTCTAGCAGACGATTTACATACTTGCCCTCTTCCTTTAGGTCAGTATGGCAATTTTCCAATATCAATTGTTTAAAGAGAAGCTTTGGTGAAAAATGGAATCAAACAGGCCAGAGAGATAAATCCTTGCTGCTTTTAAAATATCAACACTTTCACAATTCTATTCTCACACACATCACGCACGCACACACACGGGAGCATCTGCACGGTCGTGTTTTCAGTGTTTCTTGCGGGCGGGGAGGCAGCTGCAGCTGGTCATGCTGGCTCAGTCTCCGAGGTTTGCTCAGCTTCACATTATTCGGAGGCCCTGGATGGAAGACTCCAAGGTCTTGAAATCCCAAATTGTCATGGCTCCATCGATGCCAGTG